TGCGCCATCTTGATGCACATTCTTCGGGAGCGCCGAAAATACTCATGCACTGTCCGGAATTTTGCTTTTTCAAATATGGTAACCCTAATTCAATGTCTTAGATGTCAATACCGGTGTCAAGCCTTTCGATTGAGCGGTAATATTCAGAGATTACAATTTGGTTGAATTCGTTAGCAATGGTTAATATGTGCAAAATCTGATGCCAGGGTTATGCTAGTTCAAAACGGCAAAGGTTTCAAACGTTCATTTCCTGGAATCAAACGGGTCAAAAAAGTTGAAAACAAGTTGATCAGGTTAAATTATTATTTATATCGATTACTCACAGTTGAAGAAGTAATGTTAGTGATTACTGTTTTGCTATGCAACATGGTCCTCTCTCATGTCCAATCGCTGAGACTGTTTTTTGCATAGCCATTTTATTTGCCGTGAATATAACATTATGTAAAGCAAATTTAACACTGAATATATCAGTCAAGGACCTGATTATGATATTAATCGAAGCACTTTTCAGATTTCTCCGAAAACTGACACAACACACATAATAATGCAAAAAATACCGCGATTCAAAGACATGTAACACTTTGAGCCCTGGCTTCGATTACAATTTTGATCAAAGTACTTTCTACAAACTGAGATATTACACAAAAAGACTCATAAAATATAGTGATTCAGGGACAAACAGCGCGCTGGATTTTAGCTGTGCTTGAAATTTCAATCAAAAGTTTCGTCTCTATATTTCTTCGAAATCTGAGACAACACAAATAAAAATGTGTTGAGTTACCGTGATTCAGGGACGAAAACACGCTGAACTTTCACTTTTTTAAAGTTGGTGATCACTTGATCAAGTGATTTTAACTCCAAAGTAGGTCTTGTACAGATAGCCACTAAGTATATGTTATATTATCTAAAATTCTAGAAGAATGCTGTCTAATAGTGAATAAATTTTTGATTGAGAATAAGTTTCATACGAGAGAAATTATTACTTATTAATTTGTCGATTTGCGATTTTATGCTCCAGAGCTAAATAATAGTTAAGCTGGCGAGTTTGCTTAATTTCGTCCGAGAGTGAGTTTTTATAAATTGAATGAAATCGTTTTAGGTGAAGCAATGTGAGATTTCAGGTGTTAAAGTGACAAATTTTAAACCGAATATAATTAATTTCGAGTTGGTTGGGATATTTGTTTTGAACGTCAGAATTAGTTGCCAGGCGGGAAGAAGCCGGGCAGGAATGATACTCGGAAGAAACACTTTCCAGTCTTAGCAGAAATCCCCGAACCTCGAGTCCAAGTCGAGTCAATCACTGTGTTGAGTCTCATCGGTGGATAGTTGCGTCCAAGTTATTCAATCGAGTAACTCGAGTCAATTCAGGTCATTGATAAATCGTCGTTCTAGCTCTCACAGCGCTGCTACTTTCTCGTTGCGATATTTTACATTTGCTTCAATGTTAAAATAAATTTGGGATGGTTATTCACCACTTATAGAGGGGAAGTGTAGGTAAATTACTGTCTCTAGTAATAAATGCAAAACTGCTTTTAGCTTTAGCCCACGTTTCAAACGAATTTATTTCTTATTATAATAAAACATGTTCAACTGGTAGAAAGTGAACAAATCAATTCAGTCAATGGGTTGGATCTCTGATGCCAGGGTTATGCTAGTTTAAAACGGCAATGTTTCAAACGTTCATTTCCTGAAAACGAACAGGTCAAAAAAGTTGAAAACAAGTTGATCAGTTTAAAATACTATTTATATCGATTACTCACAGTTGAAGCATAAATGGCAGTGATTATTGTTGTGTTATGCAAGGTGGCGCCTGCTCATGTCCAATCGTCGAGACTATTTTCTGCACAACTGTTTTGTTTGCCATCTATATAACATTATGTAAAGCAAATTTAACACTGAGTATATCAGTCAAGGACCAGATTATGATAATAATCGAAGCACTTTTCAGATTTCTCTGAAAACTAAGACAACTCACATAATATTGCAAAAAAATACCGCGATTCAAAGACATGTAACATTTCGACCCCTGGCTTCGATGACAACTTCATTTAAAGTACTTTCTTTAAACCGAGATATTACAAACTAAGTCTCAGGGGCAAACAGCGCGCTGAGTTTTAGCTGTGCTTGGAATTTCAATCAAAATTCTTTCCCCATATTTCTCTGAAAACTGGGCCACTAAGTATATGTCATGTCATTTAAAAATCTAGAAGATCGCAGTCTATTGTGAATAAATTTTTAATTAAGGAAACGTTTTAGACATGAAAAATCGGCAATTACGAATTTAGCGTCAAAATTGATTTATTACTTAATAATTTGTCAATCACTGCGATTTTATGCTCCAGAGCTAAATAATAGTTAAGCTGGCGTCTTACGACTCAATAAAATATAGCGCGATGTATTCAGCTTTAGCTCCAACACATAGAAGAGCTCTGGCGATTTATTTATTTCGTCCGTGTGTGAGTTTTTGTGAATTAAATGAAATCATTTTAGGTGACGCATGTGAGATTTCAGGTGACAAATTTTAAACCGAATATAATTAATTTCGAGTTGATTTGGATATTTGATTCGCTTTGGACGTCAGATTTAGTTGCCAGATGGGAAGAAGCCGGGCAGGAATGATACTCGGAAGAAGCACTTTCCAGTCTTAGCAGAAATCTCCGAACCTCGAGTCCAAGTCGAGTCAATCACTGTGTTGAGTCTCATCGGTGGATAGTTGCGTCCGAGTTATTCAATCGGGTAACTCGAGTCAATTCAGAGCTCTCACAGCGCTGCTACTTTTTCGTTGCGATATTTTACATTTGCTTCAATGTTAAAATAAATTTCGTGGGGATGGTTATTCACCACTTATAGAGGGGAAGTGTAGGTAAATTACTGTCTCTAGTAATAAATGCAAAACTGCTTTTAGCTTTAGCCCACGTTTCAAACGAATTTATTTCTTATTATAATAAAACATGTTCAACTGGTAGAAAGTGAACAATTCAATTCAGTCAATGGGTTGGATCTCTGCTGCCAGGGTTATGCTAGTTTAAAACGGCAATGTTTCAAACGTTCATTTCCTGAAAACGAACAGGTCAAAAAAGTTGAAAACAAGTTGATCAGTTTAATTAAAATACTATTTATATTGATTACTCACAGTTGAAGCATAAATGGCAGTGATTATTGTTGTGTTATGCAAGGTGGCCCCTGCTCATGTCCAATCGTCGAGACTATTTTCTGCACAACTGTTTTGTTTGCCATCTATATAACATTATGTAAAGCAAATTTAACACTGAGTATATCAGTCAAGGACCAGATTTTGATAATAATCGAAGCACTTTTCAGATTTCTCTGAAAACTAAGACAACTCACATAATATTGCAAAAAAAATACCGCGATTCAAAGACATGTAACATTTTGAGCCCTGGCTTTGATGAACTTTAATCAAAATATTTTCTTTAAACTGAGATATTACAAACTAAGTCTCAGGGGCAAACAGCGCGCTGGGTTTTAGCTGTGCTTGGAATTTCAATCAAAATTCTTTCCCCATATTTCTCCGAAAACTGAGACAACTCATATAATATTGCAAAAAAAAAAATACCGCGATTCAAAGACATGTAACATTTTGAGCCCTAGCTTTGATGAACTTTAATTAAAGTACTTACTTTCTTTGAACTGAGATATTACACATTAAGACTCAGGGGCAAACTGCGCGCTGGATTTTAGCTGTGCTTGGAATTTTAATCAAAATTCTTTCCCCATATTTCTCTGAAAACTGAGCCACTAAGTATATGTCATGTAATTTAAAAATCTAGAAGATCGCAGTCTATTGTGAATAAATTCTTAATTAAGGAAACGTTTTAGACATGAAAAATCGGCAATTACGAATTTAGCGTCAAAATTGATTTATTACTTAATAATTTGTCAATCACTGCGATTTTATGCTCCAGAGCTAAATAATAGTTAAGCTGGCGTCTTACGACTCAATAAAATATAGCGCGATGTATTCAGCTTTAGCTCCAACACATAGAAGAGCTCTGGCGATTTATTTATTTCGTCCGTGTGTGAGTTTTTGTAAATTAAATGAAATCATTTTAGGTGACGCAATGTGAGATTTCAGGTGTTAAAGTGACAAATTTTAAACCGAATATAATTAATTTCGAGTTGATTTGGATATTTGATTCGCTTTGGACGTCAGATTTAGTTGCCAGATGGGAAGAAGCCGGGCAGGAATATTACTCGGAGGAACAACATTCAAGACTTTGCATAAATTCCGTAACTCGAGTTCAAGTCGAGTCAATCACTGTGTTGAGTCTCATCGGTTGTTAGTTGCGTCCGAGTTATTCAATCGGGTAACTCGAGTCAATTCAGGTCATTGATAAATCGTCATTCTAGCTCTCACAGCGCTGCTATTTTCTCGTTGCGATACTTTACATTTGCTTAACTGTTAAAATAAATTTCGTAGGGAGGGTTATTTACCACTTATAGAGGGGAGTGTAAAAAAATTACTGTCTCTGGAAATACATACCTACCTTTTAAACAATTTTTATGTCTTAATATAATAAAACATGTTAAACTGGAATACAATTCAGTCATTTCTTGGATGTCAATGCCAGGGGCGACTTACTTATGCGCCAATGACCTGGCTAATAAGTAAATCGGTGGAGATTAGGTAAGTCGGTGACAAAAAGTAAGTCAGTGGCGATTACGTAAGTTAGTGGCGACTAAGTAAGTCAGTTGCAAATAAGTTTGTCAGTAGCGAATAAGTATGTCAGTGGCGATTAAAAAAATCAGTGGTAATTAAATAAGTTAGTCTTATTTATGTAAGTCATTGGCGCATACAAAAGTCATCGGCAATTCAGGAAAGGAATGTCAGGCGACGATTAATTAAGTCGGTGGCGATTGAGTAAGTCGGTGACGACTAAGTAATTCAGTGGTGATTAGGGAAGTCAGTGACGATAAAGTAATGGTGAGAAGCCTATCACTGAACCCGCCACACTTTGAAGGTAATTTTGTGTTGCCGATATTAGATTTGCCTTTATATATATTTTAGAGCATATAAAATCCAAACAAAAAAGACGATTAAACAATTCAGCAATTAGACATGAGCAGGGAAAGGCCACGTTGCAAAACACAACAATATTCAATGATATTTCTCATTCAACTGTGAGTAATCGATATAAATAATATTTTAACCTGTTTAACTTGTTTTTACCTTTTTGATCTGATTGGTTTCAGGAAATAAGCGTTTGAAACTTTTTCCGTTTTAAACTAACATAACCCAAGTATCATATTTTGCACATACTAACCTTTGCCAACTAAGTAAACCAAATATTACTCTCACGGATGTTGTAGTGACGTCGTCGTCATTGTTTTATTAAGATAGAAAGAGCAGCATTTACCAAACTATCTTTTTTGTGATGCAACACGTTTCTGAAATATAAAAGATAGAAAACAATTTCTCTTTTCGCTCTAGAGTAGTGAGTGAGCTTGCATAGGATATATTCCGATGCGAAAAGGTTAAAACGTCATTCTAACCTATGCTGTACTGGTTTTCAGTGTCTCCACCCACCTTGTAAATACGTTCCTTATTTTATTCTACTCGTATATGTAAGTTGCATATTTTCAGAATTGGTGGAAAAATAAATTACTGATTACTGTTCGGGAATCAACTTTCATCGAAGCAAATCTGACGAAATTCCCGGATTCGAAATGAAGATTCCGATTCAATACATCCTTCTTATTTTTATTGAGGCATTTTCATTGATTAAAGGTCAGTATAACCATGCATGCTCTGTTGGGTTTGCTTGCTTGCCTGTTTTTTTTTTGCAAATTTAAAGATTCGTGTTTTGCTCCTTGGATTACACATTTGTATCAGGGGGAAATATCTATTTATCCCGGCGTATAGAAGGCGAGTATGGCGGTGGAATGATATGGAAAACCTCGATCTCTCGTAAAGGTTGGATTAGGTACGGAGAAAATCTAATTAGATCTTCGTTGCACTCCACAAGCGGAGACCGTCATTGATACAAAGATAAATGATGATTGGTCGTATTCATTGCGTTGCCGGAATGGTCGTTCTTCCATCATAGTATATATATATATGCAATACAACGCTTTAGTTTTAAATTCTCCAATAAGAAGATCGTCTCATTTAAAACGTTTTAGTTTTTAAACCTAATTTTTTTTTTCGTAATATACACTCGGATCGTTATGTTCAGACAAGAAAATTCGATCATAGATTAGCAGGCGTGGTGACCCAAGCGTTGGACTCGGATATTTTGGCATTACGGGGTAAAATCTCTGGTTTTAATTTTATAACCACCACCACACCCATGGTGTTGTAAACTGAATGCTGAATCAGCAAGATTGCTGCCTATCCAAATATAGCAGCTAATTACGTATCAGTGGTCGTTCACACATGATCTTGTTCGGGTAAAAAGACGTATAAAACGTCAAATAAAAATTATCAAAAGATGTTACATGAACTACAGAAGTACTCTATGTCTATACTATGTGAACCTGGGCGAAAAGCCCAAAGCAGCAAACTATTCTCGAAATTGAATCGCGGGTATCGATCAGATCTTGTCTCATGCTTGCAGTAACGTTAAACATTATTAGGTTCCCCAATGGCGGGCGTAATAATTTAAATTTGATTCGACCAATCATCATAGAGGGAAATAGTTTGCATGACGTATAAAAGTATATATGAAAGGAGCGAATGCGCGCCATAAGAAAATATGGCGCTCCTGAAGTATGTGCACCATGATGGCGCACAACCTGAACCTCAACCTAGTACACATACTATGTTCAGGTTTTGCACCAGGATACTTCTGGAGGTCTGAAAATAGGTACTAAATTAGTCTTCGTTTATCTGTTTTAAACCCACTTTGAAATGAACAATTCACTCGATTTCTACTTCAAATTTTTTCTTAACAGGAGAGAAATGCTGGATGCCCATGGTTTGCGACGGGAAACCTACTTGGAGAGACCTTAATACGGTGAGAGCTTTAGTAGTAGTTTTATATTGGTGATTTTATTTGCAGAAGTAAAACTGTTTTTGTTTGAAATCGGAAAATTGAACTTTCTAGCGATTTATTCCATCTATAAGTACTGAAGGTTGGAAACTTACTTTAATCGATATCTCATCCCATATTTTACATTTTCACTTCAATCCATGGAGACACTTTTTCACGGCGTATGGGAATACTTGCTCAGCTAAGGCCTCACTGCACGGATGTGCAAGCTTTATGTCAATATATTTAAACATTCCTTTATTCTTCTATTTCAGACGAGACAGTGCACAAAAGACGAAGAGAAGGCTTTGAAAGGTTCATGTCCACAATATAATTTCCTTCGAAGTTTGCTATTTTTTCATATTTGTCAAAAGATCTAATAGCAAACATGCCCCCAAACTATCGTTTTATAAAAAAAATCAGGGGCTCCCGAAGTATGCGAACCAAGATGGCGGACATCGGAATGTAATATGTGTACTAGATTAGGGTTAGGCCATAATTTTAGCTATAAATACTACGGGAGGCTCTTGGCTAGTCTTCGAACTGATAATAGGACTAAAATAAGGAAAATTGGAAAAAAATTATCGTCTAACCCTAACCTGTTACCCATGTTACGTTCCGATGTCCGCCATCTTGGTTCGCATACTTCGGGAGCACCAAAAATCAATCATTTTATAAGTTAAATTCAAATAATTTCATGTCTTTAAAGCGCCATTTGTAACAATCACATCATGACGTGTAGTTTAGCAATACCCAACTCATATCCTTATTTTTTTTACCAGAGTAGGAGGGGTGCATATCTTTTTACAACAAATTCACTGATACGAATTGTAAAATTGAGGGGTCAATTTAATATCTGTTTTTTTATTTATGTTTCGCAGCTTTAACGGAACGATTAGACGGGATGGAGAGTAAGCTCAATCAATTGGAAAGGACGATGGAAGAATCAGTGACGAACTCAGTGCCGCCCTCTGTTGTAAATGTCAAAGAAACGACCAAGCCCTCTGTTGTAGATGTCAAAGAAACGACCACGACTAAGGGTATGAAAGTTTATGTCTTTTGGTATCGCATGCACTAGAATAGATATTGAAAAAGTTCATTTTATTCATAGTAATCAGTAATACGACAATTATGCAAAGACGCTGAAATAGAAAAATGAAAATTAAAACATATCCACATTGCTTTTCAGTTTCTCAAAACTATAAATCTTGCTATAAACTAGTAATATAAACTCACTTTTTCACACAGCATACAAAGACAAGAAAACTACTTCTGCCCGTACTTCAACCGTCCCTGCTACATCCCCGTGGTCAACTAAGGAAACCTTTCTCTCTACTGTGCGCCCACAAACTACAAAAGTCGAACAGAGTACAGGTTGGTGTGGCCTCATATTTCTCGTTTTTTTACTCGGAAAATATGTCTCCTTAAATGTTTCTAAGGACGCGTCAAATATTTTAATATGGAATTCCCCAGCACCTGCGTTCCAGAACAGAAAAGATAGCGATACTTCCAAGAAATAACGATCTCTATGTATTAGTAATTGTCTTGTCTAACGCCTTTTGGAGCGCGATGTAAAAACAATTCACAAAAACACTAAATCTATTTGCTTGAGATTATTTTAACTTTCTTTATCCCCGCAAGAAGCATATAGGACGGAATAAAATTGTCCTAAGATGGCGTTCATAGTCTGAGCGTTGTCTCGCTTTATTCCCTTTGGGGCTGCCGCGGGATTCGAGAAATCGGGGTCTGGTATGGTGTAGTAACACGAGTAATTATATTGGGCGTAGCATAACCGTTTTGCCATGCGTTATTGCGGACCCTCATCTCGTTACGTCATCCGGAAATAAATCTCTAAAAATGGCCGTATATTGTGGCGGACATTTCTAGGATGACGTAGACATTTGCAAAAATGGTTAGGCCATGCCCATTCGAAGTAGATGTGATACTTAATTAAACAAGATCCAGAAATAACCGTTTGACCATTGACTTATGCAAAAATAAGCATCGCCGCTGTGCGAGACGGTTCTGAGCGTCTTTCAAAGACCTAGTTGGAATATTCCGTTTTAATAATTTTGCACTTGAATTCAAAGTTTTTTTTCCAGATAGGGCAGTGCTGTCAGTTTCATGTTAATTTTTTTTTGCATATTTAATGGAGGCTGATATTATTCATATCTTTCAATTTAAGTTTGAAAAGAAATCTAATTTCTTTATGGGGTTGTAAGAAATGTTCACGACTTCCTCTTAAAGCTGATTGACCACAGAAAAGGCTGTGACGGGTTGTAGTTTGCCCATCAAGGCTGGTAAATTTGTTGAGAGATTTGGTCTGCACCCTATAACTGTTTCAATGTTTAGTTACAGTACTCACCTGCCCAGCGCCTGATGCTCCAGACAACGGGACTGTAGACACCGCAACTGCTTTAGAGGTCAATCAGACTATCGAATATTCATGCAATGCTGGATACGTTCTTCAAGGATCAAACATGGGAAAATGCGAAGAAAATGGAACCTGGGGGGAAGTGCCCACTTGCGTAGGTAAGTGTTCACAGAGCGCTGTGTATTCGAGGATAATTTTTCAAACTACGAGGTGGCTGATGCCTCGTGCCAATATTTAGATATATCTTTGTAATCGCACTTCCAATTATCGCACTCCCAATTATCGGGAGTTTTTAATTTGAAATCCAATAGGGTATTTTATGTGCGAGAGGATTGCTGGACTCCTCGCCATTACAGAGTCAGTGGTTCACGTAACCGCTGCTTTTCGCCATCATGTCTATGTATATATTCTACTCTTAGTCCACTCTACTCGAAGTCTGACTCTCATTTAAAACGAATTTGCACTTCATTCCAATTCATGCAAGCCTCCCTAAATAGACTGTTAAGGTTTCCTAGCAAACTTGCTTTTTGAGTTTGTATTGATATTTTTGACTTGTCACCATTGAAAGTCTGACATTCCGACATTTGATTATCTTTGGACTTCAGAGTCGAGTCGGAGTTAAAATTGTTTCACTCCAATGTCGATTGTGAATTTCATCCGTATATACAGACCTGTTCAGAATAAAATAATATTCAGTTTGGGCCACAATACAGGGCTCTGACTCTAAAAATGTTCTTTTGTGTTTTTCAGTCGATCTTACATGTGATTTTGAGTTTTCAACCAACCCTACATGCGGCTACACGAGACTTAATGGAACGTTTCAGAGAGAATACAGAGATGAAGACGTTACAGGTATTCTATAGTGTATGTGAAATGCCTTGTTTTTAAAAAAAATTGCTCACCGTATGGCGGTTGGCGGTAACTTTGCTTAAAAGTGAGTCACATTTGCTACTGAGTAAGTGCCTGTAACTTTGCTCACAATTGAGTCTTCCTTTACTTCCGAGTTGAGTGCCTGTAACTTAGCTCACAATTGAATCTTCTTTACTTCCGAGTGAAGGCCTGTATCTTTGCTTACAATTGACTTCTCTACTTCCGAGTGAGTGCCCGTAACTTTGCTTACGATTGTGTCTCCTTTACTTCCAGTGAGTGCCTGTAATTTTGCTTACAATTGAGTCTTTCTTACTTCCGAGTGAAGGCCTGTATCTTTGCTTACAATTGACTCCTCTACTTCCGAGTGAGTGCCTGTAACTTTTCTTACAATTGAGTCTCCTTTAATACGGAGTGAGTGACCGTAACCGTAACTTTGCTTTTAAAAGAGTCACCTTTACTACTGAGTGAGTGCCCGTAACTTTGCTTACGATTGTGTCTCGTTTACTTCCAAGTGAGTGCCTGTAATTTCGCTTACAATTCTGTCTTCTTTACTTCCGAGTGAGTGCCTGTAACTTTGTTTACAATAGAGTCTCCTTTAATACGAAGTGAGTGCCCGTAACTTTGCTTACAAATGAGTCACCTTTACTACTGAGTGAGTGCCCGTAACTTTGCTTACAACTGAGTCTTCCCTTACTTCCGAGTTCCGAGTGAGTGCCTGTAACTTTGCTCACAATTGAGTCTTCTTTACTTCCGAGTGAAGGCCTGTAACTTTGCTTACAATTGAGTCTCCCGTAATACTGAGTGAGTGCCCGTAACTTTGCTTTCAAAAGAGTCACCTTCACTACTGAGTGAGTGCCCGTAACTTTGCTTACAATTGAGTCTTCCCTTACTTCCGAGTTGAGTGCCTGTAACTTCGCTCACAATTGAATCTTCTTTACTTCCGAGTGAAGGCCTGTATCTTTGCTTACAATTGACTTCTCTACTTCCGAGTGAGTGCCCGTAACTTTGCTTACGATTGTGTCTCCTTTACTTCCAGTGAGTGCCTGTAATTCTGCTTACAATTGAGTCTTTTTCATACTTCCGAGTGAGTGCCTGTAACTTTGTTCACAATTGAGTCTCCTTTACTACTGAGTGAGTGCCAGTAACTTTGCTTACAATTGAGTCTCCTTTACTTCCGAATGAGTGCATGTAGCTTTGCTTACAGTTGATTCTTCTTTACTTCCGAGTGAGTGCATGTAACTTTGTTTACAAATGATTCTAGCGGTTACGTGAACACTCCATGTCTGAAAATACTTGAGCTTTACACCGATTCTCAGCTCACACCTCTCATTTTTTTTTAATTCATCCTAGGTTATGTTCTTTCTGGTAATGGTACAATCAGGTCCTTACCCAAGGCTTTGACTGGCAATGAGGAACTATGCATGAGTGTCGACATAAAAGGGACATCTGATGGAGAACTAGTGGCCAAGGCTCACAATGGAACTGTAACGTGAGTAGCTAAGACAGAAATTATTTTTTCACCCGACTATTTGACGCTTTCACTCCAAAGCAGAATTTGTATAGGAAGTCACTGTACAGTAAAGAATTATTTGTTTTGAATATATACATTGAATATATACTGTATTGATTTTAGAATAGTGAATTATTCGATTTTAGTCTTTCCTTGTCAGGTTAAGATTGCATTACGTCTTCAATGCTTCGAACCCCCATCATCAAAGCACTGAAACACTGTATTCAAAGCCATCTTATTTGGTTTTTGAAAAAATGAAGCTCATTGACGGCTTCACTCCAATTTAGGGGTGTACAACCTAATACAAAAGGGACAGATACAAATAACCGGGTGAAACCGCAGGCCGCACCTTCATTTAACTTAAACTTCCTAGTAGTTACAGGCACAGAGGTTCAAAATTGGAACTGTAAAATTGGCACTTCTATACGAACCGCACATTTTTCTTGTGGGCCCGCGGGCCGCAGGTTGCACACCCTTGCCCAAGGTACTCAGTAGGGATGACTGAGCGTCTTTACTTTCTTTTTTTTTACACTGCGCTCTTAACACCAACATCGGTCAACTTTGTGTGGTTAACGATTAAAATTTGTTGACTTTCACTTTCAACGACGAATCATATATTCACAAAATTGTGTATTTTCCCCCTGAAAAAGGCTCCAAGAACAAACAGGAACTGTTAGGCTTAGTGTACTAGGAATGTACGGATAGTGCTACCCAACAAGTTTGATTGCTAGTCATTTTAGATAATCTTACTAAATGGATTCATGGCATTTTTGTGTGTTTCACTCCGCACAAGAGTTCGAGCAGTCGCTGATAAGTAAAAAGCTGCTAGTCAGATGCCATTAGTGTAAGGAATAGTGTAAAAAATATACTTTGAATATCACGTGTGAGTCCACTGTAATGAAAAGAGCTGCTGAAACTATCAATAACTATAACAATTCATTCCACATTAGTACATACTGATTGGCGCAGTTAAAGTTGATGCGCTCAATACAAAAGCTTAATAATAGATTTCATATAAATGAAGTTCCTGGAAGAAGCTGAACATAATTAATTTTTGATTTATTGTCTATTCTATGTAAAGACAGGAATGCTTTGTTTTAACATTTTTAGGAAAGCAATCTGGCCGTTTTCTGCCTCAACTACCTGGAAAACAGAAAAATTCATTTTAAAGAAAGTTTACTCTACAGATACAGAGGTTTGCAACACATTTGTTAGCAAAAATATTTTTAAATCGGTATTGCTTTGGATGTGAATCCCATCTCACATGACGAAAAAGTTTTTCAAGATTTTGGTAGGGTGTAGTCTAGCTTCATTAGCGTGCAGAGGGTTGTAATCAATGTCTTTGCATAATTGAAGTTTTTCTAGAATCCCTTTACAAAGTGGGAACACATATTAGCCGTTTTATCACCTTTCCTGTCTGCATTACACCTTAAATATATTTCTTTTAACTCTGTGAGAATCCACTCACAATTCTGATCTATTTAAGCACGTAGTCCATATTAAAAAAAAAACTATGATTCTAATTACTTTACTTTGAGTGAAACCAAGAAACCAAATCTTGTGACTAAAACTTCAGCTCATGCAAGCCTGTTGAGAATGCTCAGAAAAATTGATGCTTGGGTCAATCTGTCTAAAATTGGTTTTTGATTATCACATTTACAAAATCTGTAATCCAGGTTGCTGACTTCATAGTTAGAAAGTTCTATTCCAAATTATCAATGAAGACATTTTCAACTTCTACCTCAGACTCTACTTTGCAGTCCTGCTCGAACTTCATTTTTTAAAATTCCATTCAGGTCCAACTTGAGCTTGAGTCATCCGGGAATGTAGAGTTAGACAACATAACAACATTGAACTCTTCCGAATGTTATGGTTTGGGTAGGTGCATTAAGATTTATTTAGTCAATGGCAAAGTTGTTGAAGATTTGAATGTTTTCTCCGATCTTCTCGGGTTCAAGCCACATTTCAGTCAGGGTAATAAATTGGGGTAGAAAATGCCGCTGTATCAGTGGTTGCTTGCGCAAGTATATCAGTGTCTGCGCAAATTCATGTTTAGAGTGAGTGTGTATCAGTGGCCGCTTGCACAAAGCCTTGTTCGAAATGAAAAGAAATTTCATAAATTTAAAATAATCACAAATAAATTCATTGCTGGTTAAGTTGAACTTCTTCATCATTTGATTTGCAGCTACACCATGTTCCAAGCGAAATCTTGAGAACGGAACAATTTCTCCTGAGCAGGACTTATACAGTGAGGATCAAGAGGTGCGTTACTCTTGCAGCAATAGTTCCAAATTAGAAGGGGGACAGACGGGAACATGCAAAGCTGAGGGGTCATGGTCCACAACACCAGTTTGCACTCCGAGTAGGTTTTTTTCTTTAGCGATTAAGACCATCCAACTTTCCACATTTTAACCTGTTGTCTATATGGCAGCCTAATAGCCCTGTATGGAGGAGACCATTTAATAGGGAATTTGTGCCATATAGCCATCCCCAGTCCTAACCTGCTGTCCATATGACAGCTTACTAGCCTCTCAAATCTTCCGAATGTTATGGTCTAGGTCAGGGGTCACCAAACTACGGCCCGCGTCCTCATTTTATCCGGCCCGCAATAATACGCAAAAATGGCCAAATATTTTTCCAAAAAAAATTTTCTCGAGCATCATCTTCCTTGTTTATTTCGTAACATTGGCCAATCAGCAAGATGCAAAAAGTGACGTAATATTGGGCCTTTTGCATCCGCTCAGACACTTTCGTCACTCTGACAGATTTTCAGTCGTGGTTGTAAACAACTTCGTTTTTGCGATTTTAAATGCTATTCGTTAGCTTCTGGTTGTGTTTGGGAAATTTAAGTATGAATCAAATAAGTCAATCATCATTTGCCTCTTTAGGAGTAGTAGTTTTAATAGTAGTAATGAAAAATTAGTCTAGGAAATAGCTGTGACAAAATAGGCTAAAATTCTCTACCGGGAGGCAACGTTTTCTGCGGAAGATGCACTCGTGGCGCGTGCATTCGACGAAACTTCACGTCTTTGTGCTGAAATGAACGTCGAATGTGCATTTTGCGCTAACAGTACTGTAATCCCTCGCGTACTGCTCCAATTTCACAAGCCACACTAATTTTTGTACTGCTTAATTGCTGATATTCATGTAGGTAAGTTACAAAAAAAATAAAATTCATCCGATTTAAATAAAAACTGCGCCAGAGAGTTGAGAGAGAGTTTATTTTTATTTGTCAAACCATGAAACTCACAATACATGCATGAATATATAAATATTGAAAAAACAGATGCTTTTATAAGACTGGGAGACAACGAACGATACGACCTTTTGGGGTCATCAGAGTCTGTTGCCACCCATACAATTATATTATTAGTAATAAAATAAATCATCAGGTACGGTGTAAGGAAATACAATACCTCTCGTTTATTCATTATATACACCATTTACAGTACTTTGCCTTTTTTTTAAATAAGAAGTGGATAGATCTGATTGAAAATTAGAAAACATTACCCCGTTTATAAAAAAACGGTCAAGAAATAACGGAGATATCGGAATTTTAGTACCGCACGACAGACCCTTTTTTCCATAAGGATTGTATCATTTTTTTGATAAGAACTGTGATAAATATGAAAAAAAACACATATCAATCACTAATCTTTCGATCTGCGTCACATCTATGGAATATTGAGATTTTCAGGTAGATATTTCAGGATTTTATTCTGGCAACAGTCTTGACACCGCCGAAAGATCGTCGCAAATAAACGCTGGAGTTGTGCATGTTAGGTTTACAGTGGTTTATTGTGGGTAATAAATAACGATGTTCTGACTGTACAGACTTCATAAAAAATTGGTAAGTATCAAGTTATGGAAGAAATACACAAGTCCACATAAATTTTATTGGTGTCCATAGACAATATCATCAATTTGCACCACGTATAACTTGAGCGTAATTTTAAAAGCTCCGAATGTTGGGAAATTTATGCATAGCGGGTGTGGGAACGTCCATGGCTCATAGTTCACAATCTATCCAAGCAAAAAATAATTTCAAGATCAGTATTCTAACCTATTTTTTAGAACCTTCTGAATCATATTGAGAAGCTAAAGATATTGGAAATATCGGTCTAAATTTAGCCGATACACTACCGATACCGTAAAATTGGCCGATATTGCCAATACCGATACATCGGTACATCTCTAGTTCAAACTACATTTCAGTCAAGTTGATAAATTGGGGTTGACAGTGCTGCTGTATATTCTAAACCTGCTTGCACAAGTGTATCAGTGGCGGCTTGTATAAAGCCTTTTTTCGAGTGACACAATTCTTTACAGATTCACAATGTTCACAAACAAATACTCTGCGGGTTAAGTTAAACTTTTTTATCATTTGAATATTTTGCAGCCACACCATGTGCGAAGCGTAATCTTGAGTACGGAACAATTTCTCCTGAGCAAGACTTGTACAATGAGGATCAACAGGTCAGTTACGCTTGCAACAAGGATTACATTTTGGAAGAAGGACAGACGGGAACATGCAAAGCTGGCGGTTCATGGTCCACAACACCTGTTTGCACTCTGAGTAAGTTTTTTTTTCTTTATCGATTAAGACCATTCAACAACCATCCTCATTTTTAACATGCTGTCCATATGGAATCCATTCAAATAGCGATTACGACCAAATATCCATCCCCATTCTCAACCTGCTATAAATATAGCAGCCCAATAGCCCTGGTAATTTAAATGGTGATTGGGACCATATATCCATCCCTATTCCTAACGTGCTTTCCATATGACAGACTAATAGCCCTGTATATTTCGTGGGACTTAGTGTTAATAGTTTAAAAACATATCAATTCAGCGACCCATACCCTATCTCCATCTTTTCACACCGGAATCTGGGATATGGACGTGCCATGAACTGATATTGTACATCGCCGTTGTGCCGTACCTCTTTGTCTTGTGTATTTTACTAGGGTTTTAATCGTATAGTCAATTTCATGTCTGTTGCCCTAATACAGCGTTTCTCAACCTTTTTTGGTCGCGGACTATTTTCTCACCAGCGAAAACCTTTGCGGACTCAAGGTGCGTTTATTGCAACCGTACTCTGTGTGGAAAAGTAATAAAACCAAACTCAACAGAATTTTAACGAATTTCAAAATCGGAAATTCGCTGCAATTACGCGTTCGTTAATTAAAAGAGCCGACTTTTCTGTCGCACAATTTTCAATTCATGACAACGACGACAATTTAAAATGTCTTTTTATTTTAATTTAATTGTGTTTATGGTAACTCGCGGTTGCGTCGACTTACGACAAGATGGAAGCATTACTTCTTTAAAATGCCACGGCAATCAGCGAACATACTAATATTAGAATATATTGCACGATTATATTTAGTTTTGATACATATTTTTTGCGATCTCGCGAATTTGTTATCGCCGTTAGAAAAATCCTATTATCTGGTATAAATTTCCAGAAAGTACAAGTTGATTTAGTACTTATTTAAAATATAATTGAAGTTTATTAGTAAATCAAAATACATATTCACCGTCTTGCTTTATTTTTGATTTAATTGTGATCATTTTAATCTGCGGTTGTGTTGACGAAGTAAAAGCAATACTACTCGGAAAATATCATGACAATCCGTGAACAAAAAAATGCGTGGTAAAGTGCCCGATTATATTTTGTTTTGATTCGTATTTTTGTGAATTCGACAAATGTGAGCTGTTCGTACAACACTTACGGCGCTCCAGTACTGTACGTACCAAAGTGGAAGCAGTAAAGCAAAGTATCATAAGGGAAAATGCCCTGGTACATATACTACGGTAGCACCCGAAATTTTGCGATTTGTAATGTCTAAAAAAGCGTTTTTAATCGGTCGCGGACCATTAAATGTAATGAGCAAATTGCTATTCTAATAGTTGAATATTCGAATATATGCCCAGCCCTGCTTAGTAACCAGTAATTATTGACTCGATCATTGTTATGTGAATAAACTTGCGTTTTATGTAAAGTCTAACGTAAATCGATATAAACTATCTATTTATCTAATCGTTTTTATAGTTAAGTTTTGCGAAAACGTTTGCGGCCCGCATCGAATTTCTGACTCGTTGCGGACTCCTTCAAACGCTCCGCGGACTCATTTGAGACCGCGGACTCGGTTGGGAAACTCTGCCCTAGTATAACGCAGCAGTCCCAAACTGCTGTTAATATTGTTAGGGGTACATGTCGCACATGTGTATTAGGCCAGTAAGGTATTGAACATGTATCCCGTCTCTGTTTTACTGTTTAAATATTATGCAGATACTGTTACATTTTTGAGGCAAATAAACATACCTACATACATGAAGGAGGCTATTTATATGATGACTGGGACCATATATTCATCACTAACTCTCTGCCATACGGCAGCCTAATAGACCTGTATTGAGGGACTATTCAAATAGTGTTTGAGACCATATATCCATCCCTATTTCTAATCTGTTGTCAATATGGCACCCAATAGTCTTACTTGAAAGAGATCATTTCAATTAGGTATGGTGCCACATATTCTTCCGTTTGCCTCTCAACGGTTTCACATGTTTTTGAGCTCTCTTTTCGTAGTTTTTAACTTTTCCTCGTGGTACTTGTCGGTTTACCACCTTCCTTGGCGGGTTTTATTAAAAACTCCAATTATGTAAAATTCAGTACGTTCAGTAAATCAGCATAGCTCTCTCCTTATCATATTTAGCTCAATGTTTTCAAGTCCCATCGGTCTGTATGATCCTGCGTTATTTCATTAGCTTTAATAGCTCAGTAGCTGCCCGTGATTTGCTCAGAAAAATGTTTATTTCTGAGTGGATTTGCGTGACCTTGCTTCAAGCAAAATGACGTATGATCAGAACTACTAAAGGGCTCATAATCATATTATTGTAAAAAACTATAAAAGAAATTATTCAGCATAAAATGAATAAAAGTCATTAATTAAAACGTAGAAATAAATATTATCCTTAATCATTGTTGCTTGAATATCTGACTTCAAACTCTCATGAATGGTATTTTTATTTCAGGATGTCCGGTTGTCTATAAATCGAAATGCTTTCGAGCGATTGTTACTGACACGCGGGACGTGCATTTAAGCGTCTCTATATCTAAATGCGGAGACAATCTTGCTACCATATATGACGTCACACACTACAACCTGCTTCGAGATTACTTACGACCAATGGTTCCCGATGGACAGTCAGTTTTTTATGTTCATACGGGAATGACTTACAGGGTACGTCGAGTCTGAATCATGCTGCTTATTGCGGCCATACATGAACTTATTATAAAATGTGGCCAATATTGTTTCCGTGTTATCATGTGCTATTACATTTATTTATAAGTCAAATCCATAAAGCTTATCATAGGAGAGAAGTTGCATTAAACCCGGTCATTTATAATTTTATAACACTAACGTTTCCGAGCAGATATCAAATTTGACTCTCCCACTGGATTTAAAAAATTCGTTTGCGAGCGTTTTTCATTTTTAATCACAAACTATCGTCACCATGTAACGTTTCCGGGAAATTAAACAATTAGCATCCAACACTCGTGTAACGATCCAACTCTACAACTCTGTTACTAAATCAGAGAATACTAATCCAAACCAATTTAATTCAAACTAAGTGTCTATATTCTATTCTATTCAATTTTTATCCGCCAACGGTAACCACCGAAGAATGACTGAGCAGAATAATCATGTGATGATGTCCCGATTCATTCAGTTTCTTACTGGAGACAAATAAGTTAGTTTTGCTCTGTCAGATCATATGACAAGGATCACTGGTTTAACCATACTCAATTATATTATCAAACTGTCATTTGTTATTTTTCATCAAAATATGTTTTTTGTTTCAACAGGAAGGCCAGCTGTATTCATCGACGAAACAAGCTATGTCTCTGCCACATAATATTTGGCGTCCTGATTTTCCGTCTTCCGATGCTCGTAACACACATGTTATTGTTGTTGTCAGTCGGGACCCGGAGTCCAGGCTTCAAGGGATTTTTAATCATCGTGCTTCTAATGAATATCACGGAGGCATCTGTGAAAATGAATTGTAACTCTGTCTATTGAATGATCGATGAACAAAGACTGTAGAATTACTGTAGTTTAAACGTAATTGTTAATCACCCCAGTAGCTTTATCAAAACTTACTATTTCCACAGTTGAACAACCATAAGAAATACCCTGTTCATCCTTACCATAATACGTACCTACAGATAATACACACATGTATTTTAGCGCGGTTTCCGCTCCTCTCTTTCGTTGCGGGTGTTGGAACGTTTTAGGCATTCTTCTGCTTTTTGTTATCTATATATTGGGATTAATATGTCGTTTTAAATATTTGTCGTCCAACGGTCTGCCAATCGTGGTGTACTGTTATTTGACATTGAAGCATCATGATGTGATTATGAGATATAATTAGGGTGCAGAATACCTATTAATAACGTGTTCAAGACGGGTAATTTAAAGATACTTTTAATTGATAAAAGCCTTTAAAACGTCACATTGATAGATCGGCATAAAAGCTCGAAGAATATTAAATTCCTACTTTGAACAAGGTCCTGCACGGGGATTTACTTATACTTGGAAAAATAAGTATCGTTTGTTTTGACTCTGCTCGAACTGGGATAAATAGATCACAAGGAGCCTGAGATACATAGATAACAATCGGCCTGTTGGACGGTTGCATGTTCGCATGATATTTAAGATAATATTTGAAACTACATTGAAAAGAGACCGATGAATCGGTGACTATGTTCTTTTATTTACTCCACGTAATCAATTCCACTAAATTCAAACCTGACGCATATATGTTGAATCGATGCGATTAAATGCTCACTTATTCAAATTGTCAGTCTGTCGGGCTTTTCTTAGGTAGGAATTTCAATAAAGCTGCATTCCCTGTTAGATTTCTACTGAACTCACCCTTTTTTGTAGATGTGCTCAGAAAATGTTTGAATTTAATAATATAACCCAATTTGATTCTTTGTGGTGTAAATCATTTTTAAATGTTGGCTATATGTATTATTCAAATATATATTTCACGTTCAATAAATTTCAGTGAATTACAAAAATGTTTAATACTTCGTAGATAATGGCTTCGTATTTCTAACTTTAAAATATCTACAAAGTTTCAAAAATTATAAAAAGACATCGTCATTTTATAAGTCTGGGAAATCAGGGAAAATTTGCAATCGATTCTGATCTTATTTTGATAATAAAAACAATGGTAAATGCAATCTTTCTTTAATAAACAGTTACGAACGGTCAGTAAAATTTATGTTTTTTCAATTTATAAGGAAGTTTCGACTTATATTGAAACCATTGAAAATCTACAATTCTGGCAAATTCAGACTCTCTCTTTCGTGGGAACTTGGCCAATTGTTACTCCACAGACCGTAAAGTTTGTCATCTTGCAATGAATCGTTTTATGCAAATTAGATTCATTTAGTAAACTCAAAATTACCATTTAACAAAAGTACAGAATAGTCTTGATTTTAACGTAATTGGCCGGAATGGATTTACATTACTTTTTCTTTCGTTTTCTCTATTTTAACTTTTTTTACCGACGAATATCTTTCCAGAAGGCCGCCTCTCGATTAAAAGCACTTTGAGTAAAAGATGTGTCGAGGATAATTGTTTTTAGAGTCGTTCTTGACTAAAAGAATTTGCATATAGTTTTCACATTTATCGAATCCAATTGTTGTTAACCTATTATATTAATAGCTACGTCCATATATTTCGATGGATATATTTCTCCCAGATTAGATAAGCTCTATATTTGAAAGATTTTCGCTCAGAAATCTTTGACAACTATAAGGTGTATTCACCCAAACTTTTGTGTCTGAATTTTCAATTTGTATTTTAGATTTAAATTTGACATGTTTTTCGTTAAATTAAAGTTTCGTTGTGACCTGAAGAAAATATAAGGAATTCAATTTTATCAGAAAACTTGAATTATTTACAGCAATTACATCATTGTCTTCGCTTTACAATAAACACGTTTTATTACCCACACCCCTGTCGACATATTTATTTTTCTTGTGTGTTAATTATTAGGATCGATAATTCTTTTATTTTATTTCCTCAGGTATTTTATATGTTTGAATTGGTTTGAATCATTCCATAAATAGGATATTTTACAAAAAAAGTCTATTTCTGATTATTTAAGGTAAAATAAAGATGATAAATAAATTGAAATTTCAGTGTGATTTGAACAAAATGTAAGGAAATGTTATCGAAATAAAAGCAATTGCAGCATTGCCTTATCTTCAATCTCTAATAATTCAAATGCCTCCTCCCCCTCTCCCGGGCTTTCAAATCATGAAAAACAAATTAAGTTTATTTTCTTTTCTTTTTTCTTGTATGCGAATTAATGTGATATACAATTTTTTCATTAACTTTGCTCTGGTATTTTATTTATTAGATGTTTTTCTGAATATAATTATATTTCGGAGTTCAATTTATTTTTCACCAACTCAACTAAAAAGATGAAATTCATAAAAAATAATTGAAAATCTTATTTTCTACTTTGTGTGAATAAAATTATCTTGCAAAACGTTATCGATGTATTTTTTAACATATAGAGACTAAATTTATTTTTTAAACTAAGAAATTAGCTTAATCTGAGAATTAGAATTTAAAAACTGTTCTATCTAAATTTTCCAAACAAGACAAAATTTCCCAGGAGCAATCCCCGATCGCGGCGCATTGCAAAACGAATAAAAATATAGAATAGGAATGAAATTTGTTTATCCCATTGTACCCGGGGCTGAATTAACCATTTTGAGTAAAATGAGCACGTGCTTGAGATACTAAGTAAAGGCGGCATATTTTCATAACCGAGTTTTTGGTGAGACGATTCAGACCTTAGAATTGGCCCGGTAGAAATAAATTTTGCCTTTTTTCTTTCTCAAGCATCATCCGAAACCTTCCTTGTAATGGTTCGTAGGTATAAGAACTATTTTCAAAAAACGTAGTTTATATTAATCATTAATCGGCCTTCAATCAGTAATGAATATATTCGGAAACTTACTCATTCAATTATAGATAACACACAACAGCAGTTTCATTATTATTATATATTTGAAGGACACAAAAGTCTTGAGTGCTTGGGGCCTCTGAAGGCCATGATGCGTCTCTGGGAATAGTAAACCAGTAATTTGTTTCAGATGCATGATCTTATAAATATTGGAGTGCATTTAAAGTTAAGTCAGATTGAGTTGACTTTACAGTCATAGAACAAGCAAGACGTCTCCTTCAAACAAGACGTCATAAATATTTTATTGGACATAGCGATCGTTTCAATATTATGTTGTTGTTGTTCTTATTCTTGTTGTTCTTGTCCTTTGACAAGTTTTTAAAAAGTCGCTTTTCTCTTTGATTACTGGACCAATTACTTTAAATTACCAATTACTTTTATTTTTTGCTTGACGTCATCAAACTTATGTGGTGCTACGTGTCTATATATTTGAGCAAAGCTATCTTGTTTAATTTATAAAGGCAGATTTCGAACCCGATATGGCTTTTGTTTTGAGTACCTTTTTGTTTTTGAGTACCAATCTTTTTCGGCTACTGAAGCCCATCTCATATACTCAAAAAATTATGCTTTGGCATGGTTTATAGGTTTTCAATTTTAGCGGCCAATGTAATCACTTCCTGTATTTATATAGCACTCCTATAACTTGCACCAAACAAGGCACTAGACAAGCACCTGTATATTCATCCCCTATTTCACCCAATTCCACAATCTGGGGAATATATAGGAGAGCGAGGTTCTTCAATCAAGATTGTTTCTGAAAAGTTCCCACAAACTAAACAACACCTCAGTCAATAGGTTCGATTATATTTATTCAATGACTACATCTATCACTACAAAAATCATTAAAACACTCAATGAATTAAAGTAAAATATCAGTATGACTTGAATAATTATACAATACCAGTAAGTAAATTGCATTGCCATACAATAATAGTTATTCTCTCGAATTAAAGTAAAATTACAGTAACTGGCTCGAATTACCTTGAAATAACATTAAATTTGATGCATTTTATTACAATATAATCAATATCAATAAAAATTGTCGGACATGGGATGTCAGTCATTTGTCCGGTAGATTAGGAGCAATGACATGCAAGCTTGTACTTGGACATCGATATCAAATGGAGCGATTAATACATTCAGTATAATTTGTAAGAAAGTTTGAAACCAAGACTTTGCCTGTCAAATGTCATGCTTTGAATGAGTCGATGGAAATAATATGAGAATTAGCTATGAAAAGTCGGTAATTTGATGCGTTTTTTTAAAAGTACCTAAATCAAATATTTTTCAAGAGAATTTGATAAAGGGGAGACGAAACAAAACTTGTCATTTGAATGTATAATTTTGAAAACTTGACTGTGAATTTTGCAAAGCTGGGGTCAATGGAGCGATTACTATCATCAGGGGTCAAAATGAACTCAATATTGCTGTGAATATATAAAATCCATGTTAAATTAGAAATAGCATATACATAACCAATATACAATGGAAGCAATCACGTGATATAAAATTAGTTAGGCGATTGGATACAATACACAAAAATTCCATACATCGCTCAAAATCAACAGTTATTTATACATTCTACATATTGTTAAAATACGATCACAGAGAATGCAATATTTTTATGAAAATAACAGAGACTCGTGGTTTTTATTTATTATTCCTCATTTTGTATCGAGTAATTTTCAAGTTGTTCTTTGTACCTTCTATCATTTTTTGTTTCTCCTTATCACTAGGCCAATCCGCAACCTTTTCATGCGCATTCAGAGATTGCAAATAAAACGATTCAGCCTTGGAATAATCACTGAGATTATAATGCGCATAACCGATGTTGTGTAATAGCTCTCCAAACATTCTATATTTTGCAGCGTCCGAACCAAACGTTTGATTCATCAAATCTAAACCTTCATTATACAACCCGATGGCTTCCTTATATTTACCAACTTCATCGTAACAATAACCAATATTTTTCAAGCATGCTGCCTCCATATCCGCCTTCTTATTCTTATCAGCTCCTGATAATGATCTCAACTCTCTCAACATATCAGTGATTATTTTTAAACCAACATCTCTCGCAATCACTTTCATTTTATCGCCTTTATTGACCATAGCTTTGATCACGTTGCAACACTTTAATGAGCAATCACAAATCCCACCAACCGAATATTTTTAGAAAGGTAAAAATCAAATGGATGAGCGATGAATCACATTTTATCACACAGATCAGAAGTTAAATTTTAAGCAGCGCGCGTAGACTGAACATTTGAATATTTTTGCGCCATTGAACCATTTGCACTTAGCATCAACTTTTCTGCGTTTTGTTGTCATTTGTCTGAATTAAAATTAAATTATAGACTCATTAAACGAGTAATTGTGAATTATATACTTGTTACGTTATAATATAATTTAGTCTACACGTAAATTCTTTTGCGTGAAGAATATAATCGACAAAATAGCTATAATTTGTTACTATAATTCAGTGAAGCGTCGCGGGCCGGATTATATACCAGGGGCCGTAGGTTGCCGACCCCTGCACTAATGTTTTGGCTTATATGAGGATTAACTGACCTCTATCAGAAC